CAATATTGAAAATGGATGAAAGCAAGCATTATTTTTAGAATTTTATGCTTTTAAGAAATGTAAAAACATAATTTAAATAAAAAAACATAGATTTGTGTATTTTATGGAGAAGGTTCTGTGAATATTCTAATGCATCTAAAATGGTTTGTGAAACTTTGTGTCGACAATTTCTCACTATAGCCAGAAAAACTCACTGAGGTTGATAGCAATCAAGATATTATTTGAGAATAATCAATTTTATACGATGTGTTAGACTGCCAATGTATTCAAAATATTAAAAAAGTCAAGTTTTATTTACATTGTTTAGACTGTTGTCCTCATCTTTATTGCCATATTCACAATGTTTTGGCTGTTGTATGTACCCGCCTTCTTCAGGCGATTGGAATTTCGAGGTGAACCCTTTATTTTGTCCACCGGGGTATATTGTTTTAGTTCCACGTGCCATGCCTCTTCCAGATGTCTGAACAATGTAAATAATTACAATGCCTCTTCTCACAAATATAGACAGATATTAAAGTCAAGCTTTGATTATTACTTGCACCAGCAGTATGTAAGTCATGTGTGGCATCTAAGTGAAAAAATATTGCTGGATCAGAATTCTACATGTGATTAATTTTCAATGAAAACATAACAAAAATGTTTTCTTTTATGTACAAATTGAGAAGATGGATACAATACAACAATATCAAGCATATTGTGGAGTAAGTAAAATTATTTGCCATATTCATGAGACATCACACCTTTTAATTACTATTTATTAGGGTGGAATAAATTCTAATGGTGATGGTTTATATATAATGGGATTTTGAAAGTAAGTCCACTGTTACCAGAGATGCAAATGATTGATTTAAACAAGTAGTGCTTTCAATTAGACCAACTGAACACAGCAACTGATGAAAAGTGCCCTGAATTAGTTAAGAGAAAGGAAACAGCATAATATTTGCTCAAGATAATACTAGAATGTATGTTTCTTTGATTAGCAGGCAACAACTGTTCTGGTTTGGTTTGTTTTACGGCATATCAACACCTCAATGGGTCATTTAATGCCGACAACATTTTTTTTTCCTGGTAATATTTTTGTTTTGTCAAAAATCTATTTCTGGTCATATTTTATTCCTGAAAATTGTATAGCTGGTAATATTTTTTTTTCAAAAACGTATTGCTGGTAATAGATTTTTTTCTTCAAAAATTTATTTCTGGTAATAATTTTTTTACAAAGTATTTCTGATATTAAAATCTATTTTTACACTTTCATAATGCTTTTTACCTCAGTTTGCCCATAGCTAGGACCCTAACAGGTGCTATCCCCCTGGGACAGGGTGGACCTGGGAACACTAGCAATTAAGAGGTGTTCCATGCTCTTCAAGGCCTCCTGATCAGAGAGGCCTTGCTGTTGGACGTAGTTTATTGTCTTACCCTGGACATGGATGTAGTTTATTATCATACCCAGGACAAAAATTGTTCTGGTTTAGCATGGAAGTTTTGACACATCTGCCAAATTAACAAGATATTACACTTTTGAATTATCACTTATTATGTTCTGTACAGAATTCTCTTAATGAAAAAAAATTTCAGTTCTCAGGAAGATTGTAAAAGGCATCTTAAATAGTTGTCTAATGAGATAAAACATTCTGAGAGGATGGAATTACGAATAGGAATTAAAATGGCAGAACAAAAACAAAATGCTAAGTACGAGTTCTGTTCAAAAAGTATAAGGACTGGTGTTATAAAAAGAAAACTACAACACATATCAATTCAGCATTTAATCTCCTTCAAAATAGTCCTCTTCTGAAGCTGCACACCTTATCTGGCAATAGAAGTATTCCTGGAGCTCCTTTTTTGGGATAGCGCGTAGCTGCCTTGTTACATTCTCTTGTATTTCCTTGATGCTTTAAAATATTGTTCCTTTCAAGTAGGATTTGATTTTTGAAGAGGAAAAAATTGCAAATGGTAAGATCTGGGGAATATGGTGGTTATCAGACCTAGGGAAGGTTGTGCTTCATCAAAAACTGCTGCACTAGCCATGGTCACCGATGGAATCTTCATGCTGTGGTGAGATGACCACACTCTACACACTTTCCTTTCAAACACAGTTATAAACAATAGAAGTGAGCAAAAACATTATAATTCATGTACATGCATGACAGAGTTGAAAGTCAATGTGTGAGAAGTGGCTTTACTGTGTACTTTAGCTCCATTACCATAGCAACAGACCCAATACTTTTTGGCCAAACCTTATATATTGATCCACAAAATTAATACTGAAATTTTTCTTATTTCTATTTAATCAAGCAACAAACTGTTTTGGGTACCAAACATAGATAAAAACCTGCTTAAAAGCCATCCTATTGGGTGGCATTTAAAATAGCTCCTGTGGAGGGCTCTTGATTTGGCCTTCATTACAATAGGGTAGAGAGAAGTAGATGTGATAGGCAACAATTAACTACAGAAGAACTCAATTGCTGCATTTATATATTGTATTAATATTTAAGCTTAAATTTTGAAAGTTCAATGAAAATTCTTCTGCTGCCAATTAATTTAAAGCTAATTTTATGTACATAGGTCCTTATTTTTGGTACAATTATTTTTATTTCATGGGTGACTTTCAGTGGATTTCACAAATTCAAATTTTCCTAAATTTATTTCTAAGTTATAAAAATTGTTATTGTACAAAAAATTAGTTGCCAAAAATCACTTAAAATATATATATATATATATATATATATATATATATATATATATATATATACATATTGCTGAAAACAATCACAGTAATGAAAATTTGAGAATCCAAAATTTCAGGATTACGGGTCTGTAACAAACCCAGATTGTTTTTAATTTGCTCATCAAGTCAGCCTGATTCTAAAATGGTATTGATATGTTTGGCTATGGCCTCAAGGAGTAAAGTTGCAAAAGTGTGACACAGGAGCATACTGACATTCACATTTATAATATAGATGAAGAAAGTAGTACAGGTTGGTCATCACTAATCCGGCAATTGGTAACACAGTTCAGTCAACAATCTAGCATTAACTTTCACAAGAGCAATTTCAGATTTCCTGATCACAACAGCTAGTGCCAGCATTACTATTTGGTGGCACTAGCTACTGCGTCAGTAGGTTTTGAGTTTTTTCAAACTCTACTAAGGCATTACTACTTGTCTTGCATGCATTTTTATTGCAACCTGATGGCATTTAATAACAGTTGTAATGGGGCAGAACTTGGAAGAAAGATTTCTCTCATTTGTATTACCACTACCCCACGTTATGGACATTAAATCCGTTATATAATAAGATGGTTGTTCATGGATGGAGCAGAATGTCAGAAAAGGAATGACATACATACCTTGTTCTAGCGGAGAGACTTTTATACTACTAAGATAATAAATATATATATAGATATGTGTGTGTGTGTGTGTGTGTCACGCAGATAAAGTAATATCACATATATCTACATAGCAAAGTAGAGTCTAAGGATAAGCAGAAAGGAAGAGTTTTACATATGATATGGAGATACTCCAGTATCTGGAAAAGCTATATTCAAGACACCAGTTTTATCTATGTCCCAAGCGAGGACATATTCCACTAATGGGAAACAGCGAGTCTTGGTTTTTCCCAATTTGAAGACTGTAAACTGGAATTTCTTTTTATATATTCCCAAAAGGAAATGGCACCATGGACTTGCAACCTGTAGGGGAAGCAAATTTAGCCTCTGCCTTCCAGGCTAAAAATGCAACCATTTTGTTTGCTTGCTGTAAACAAACTTAATTTGATTGCTGCTTTTGTCACTGTATGAAGTGACATCACTAACCGGCTGACAGATGACCCACATGACTTAACTCCACCAAAGGAGATAACTATTTTCTATATCCTTACACAGTCATCCAATGAATGCAGGAAGTGCTTCTGGTGTTGTGAAGAACAAATGTCATACAATATGAATAACAGATAATTTAAAATTTAGATAAAATTTCAATTGATTTTTATTTCATTTCATGTTTTGTTTTCCTTTATTAAACAAAATGTACAGCTGATTGATTTCATTTTACAGCTTATGAAATATTTGTGGGTCATTTAAAACTGAAACACACTTTGAACTTGAAGCATAATTCTTTTTTGCGAATGAATACTGTATCAACAATGTTTTGAGAATAATAATGATTTTGCTAGATACAATGTAAATTTGCACCCTCCATTTTCTCAAACATCTCTTTTCCTAAATGATATATTTTTTCCCAACATAGATGGCCATAAAAAATGTTAAAAATTAAAAGTAAGCAGTTAAATCAAAACCTTCTATTATTTTAAAATAAATACTTAAGTAATTTATCAAATTAAAATAATAATTAATAATATGTAAATAAATATTTATAAACAGATAAGAGAAACAATTCGGTATCTAGCCCCCCCCCCCACGAGGGTTGCATGTGGCACAAGGCCGAGTTTATCGTGGGTTTTCCGAGCCTGTAGGCTCAGTCAAAAAATGCCCGTATAACCCGTATAAACGAGATCGGGTTGGTCATTTCTTCAGCGGAACCTCGTCCGGGTTCCTTTCTGCTCAGAAGCAGAGAGTTCGACCGTCAAGTCGAGAAGCTCAGCTTGATTCATCAAAAGACAAGAGAAACAATTCAATAACATTTACTCACTTTTGTTTATTAGACATTAAGTTACATCACTTAGTATTGTCCATAGTTTACTTTGATAGTTAGCTGCAAAGAATATTTATGACAATTCTCAAATTTAAAAATTTTGTAAACCTATCAATATTTTTTACTTTTATTAATAAATACCTGTTGCAAGCCAGAAAATATTTTTTGGGGAAATAATAATGCCTTACTAATACAAGTCTTACTAATTAACTCAAGAGATGCTGGTGGGGGGAGGTAGATCCATACCTTTTCCAAGTGTATTTGTAAATATAATAAGCAAAACTGGAATTGGAGCTTGGCTTTTGGATTTCCAATTCTGAGATTATATCCACTAGACCACTTACCTACCCAGCTTACAGCACCCGGAATTCCCAAGTGGTCACCCATCTATATACTGACTAGGCTCAATGTTGTTTAACTTTGACAATCGTATGAGAACCAGTATTTCTATGTCATATAGCTGTAAGTATTTTCCATATTTGTCATATATATATGAATAAAATAATTCCAGGTGTATTATTTTTCTGCATTGTTACCTGCTTTAGCCATTTTATTACCAAAGGCTTTCAAGTTTGACTGCATTATTATAATTAACCCAAGTCCTACCTCATCTCGCCAAACAGACTTTCAGTATTTTTATTTTTCATTTAAACATCATTTTTAAAAACTAATCCCCATAAAAATTTCAAGTCTATAATGAAATCTATAATAGCATCAGTTCATTTGGTTCTTAACAAGGAGATTGTTAAAGTCCTGTCAGGAGGCCATTTTATTCTTTAGGTTTGGCATGCACATCAGCACACATGCACGCCCTGCTCGTCTCTCTGCCTGTGAAACAATCAAGTTGTGAAATAATTCAATTTTCATGCTTGTTTTCACTGTCATGGCTGGCTTCACTTCCTGCAGTGTGTCATTAACAATGTCAGGCTACCAATTATCATATCAATTAGCACAAGTTAATGAACCCCAAAAGAACACGATAAAATATATTACTCACTTTATCAGTCTCCTGACCATTTATGGGTGCAGAAAAATAATTAAGGGTGATACTGACACAGTCAAGATTAAAAAAAAAAAAAAAAATCAAACTAATTTAGAAGAATAAAACAAGTAATAATACAATGAGTGTAACTGAAATTATTGCAGAAATGATAATGTTGAAAACTATACTGACAAGCAATTGTAATAACTAAGGCAATAATAATATTGATAGTAAGTAGATTATAATGATAAGTAATGAAAGAAATAATTAAAGACGTAAAAAAAAAAAAAAAAAAAAAAGAATGACAATGTTAGAAGTGATCTTGTTCTATGTTCCTACAGAATGTGGGTGATCATGCCTCTCCACAACTTCCTATACTTTGTTGCCCTTAGCAATATTTTTCCCTTTGCCAAATTTCCACTCATCCAATTCCACCATCCATTTATACAAGCTTGTCAGCTGGGTGACCCGCTGCCTTCTTGTGTTCATTTTGCTTTAGATATGTCCTGTGAGTGTTAAATTCTCCAAGCCCATCCTTTCTCATTATGTATCCAAGAAATTTCAACTGTCTCTTTCTGATTCTGAGTATAATTTTATACTCCTTCCCTGTCTTTTGAACAGGAGTAGAGGTTTATTCCTTGTTTACTGTTTAAGATTGAGTTCCCAGTTCCTTCTCAAAATGTTCTCCTCTTCTTTCACTCCCAGTAGCCCCTTGCATCTTAGTAGCATTATCACCTTGCTTGGGGTGGAACGATTGAAAAAAAAAAAAAAAAAGGGTTAAATCTGGACACTATTAAAACATAGAATTATTGACTTTTTGAGAAAGGTCATAAAAATCTTGGCTTAAATAAATTGAGGCGGAAAAGATGCACTAATGAAATTGTTGAATTACAGAAAAATATTCCTTGAACAAAAAAAAAAAAAAAAATTATCATTGAAAGGAAAGCCCATCCCTTTTCCTAATTCTTCTTTTTCCATTAATATAAAAAGATGCATTCATCAGGTTAAGGTATTGGAGTTTATTATCCAATGAGCAACAAAGGGTGGCATTCACTTCATAGAAAACCTTACACTAATTGGCTAAGACACAATTGGACAGACCACACACACACAAAGAAAAGAAAAGAAATATTACTCTGAGTGTTTTCCTCCTCAAACAATTCCTTCCAACAATAATCATGATCTGAACTTCCCATTGTGACATCTTATCAAATTAGTATACATTCCAACCATCATCTGATTCAGGCAGACATGTCAGAACAATCCATCTTTATCCAAGGAGAAGTCTTTGAAATAATTAATTTCTTTTCTCTCAGCCCCTCCTCCAAATTAGATTCAATAAATTAATGAGCTCTTACTGAAAACTTAATTTTCACTAATAAAGTAATTAGTAATGCTTCTGGTTAATGAGATGCTTTTGAAGATCATTAATTTTAAGTAATGAAACCCATTCTGCCTGGATGCTCTATGTTTGGGGCCTTATGTCAAACTAAGTAAAAAAAAAAAAAAAAAAATGACCAAGCAGTTAAACAGCATTTTGCCCAGATACCAATCAAGTGTGTTTTTTTAATTTTTTTGCAACCCTACATTATTTCTGTAACATCTTTTTCATACATATTATATATTTGATATTGTTTAAACTTGTATACATGCATCCATGCAACACTTTGTTCTCTAGTGGATGCAGCTTTCCACTGACCAGCTAAAAATTATCCTACTTTGTATCTTGATTTTTGTCCATGTCAGTGTGTACTGAAAACTGGGAAAGGCCCGCTGCACGTTCGCAAGAAAACAAAAGATGAAAAATAGTGCCACCTCAAGAAATAATAACCTGACCTCTGTTTCCAATATTATAAAATTGTTGTTCTTATTCAGTTTTCTTGCTTGTCTAGGTGGGTAGGAAGGTAAGTGGCAAGTGGGATATCTTCTGCTATGTCAGTCTAACAATTCAGCTCAATCCCTTGCCTATCTAGTTATCCCAATGTGTGGTTGGCAATACGAACGGATGGCATCAGAACTACATGAGAGGAAAGTTTGTCTTCCACAAAGGGCTGACCAGAACCAACTTCCTAGACCCTGAGCATGACTGTTAATATAAACCAGTAACCAGAACTAATCAATGCCTAGTTTGTTGTCTCCAAAAGCCCCTGTCCACTCATTTACACTTCCATTCCCCTTTGGTCTCAAGTGGATGCTGCTTAGAAAATTTCAAACAATTCATCAAATACCTACTTATATTGTCCCAACTTATATTTAAAATTTATGATTGTTTTTCACTGAAATTATAGTTTTCTGTAATCATGATTGTATATGTAAAAAAACAAAGATCAAATATGAAACTGACTAGATATGACTTTCAAGAAAATCTGAACATTTAAATGTGGTTTAATAGAAGCAAAGAGGTTTACCTATTGTCCAGTTCACACTTCTCCTAAACAGGAGTAGAGGTCTATCTCCTGTTTCCTGTATAGGATTGGATTTCCAGTTCCTTCTAAAATCTTCTTTCTCTTTCACTCCCAGTAGCTCTTTGCACTTTAACATCATTTTTCAACTCAACTGGGATGAATTGATTAAAACAAATATATACTAAAAGTTTCATTAAGTTCCATTAAGACATTGGCATGTTTTACATGCCAATTTAAATTCACACTACAATTTTCCCAGTTTTTTCTTGCACGCCATTTTTTTTTCAAACAAAAAAATAAGTTTTCATTATGTTTCTACATCAGATTTTTCAGTATTTCTTTTCAATGGTATAAATTTTATGAAATTGATTAAACCATTATATATCTGTTTATATCTCTGAGATGAGGTATTATGATTATTTACATTATTTGAATTATTATGATTATTATGATTTAAATTATCCTCATTTTCATTGCCATATTCACAACACTTTAGGTGATTGAAATTTCAAACTGAACCTTTTATTTAGATTGTTCTAGTTCCATATGCCATGCCTCAACTCTCCAAGTTTTTTGGTTACTCACTTTTATAGCCTGGTATTGAACTCACAGCTCTTTGGGTCTAGTCAGGGGATCTAACCAACGTCTTTATCCACTGAATCATGATGCCCTTGACGACATCTCTGTATATGAATTTCTGGGACTTATAAACCTAATGTCTCAGTAACCTTTTTTTTTGACCTGTGCTCATATTGAAATTTTCCCATTATTATTATTGCATATTTTTTTACTAGAGCTTATATTGCAATTTTTGTGTTGTCATTCATTGCTTTTCTCTAGCACTCCTTATTACTGGTTCCCATATTGTATTCATTTCTATGCTTGGTCAGTTCAGGAGATTTTTGTGGCCTAGCATATGTGCTGATTCCTTAAGTTTTTGTATTTTCCAGTGATGTTCTCTGTCTATTATTTCAACCTCATCCCACAGGGAGCGGTGATCTCCCTTTATATACGGTTATCCATGCCTGATTTTTCTACTTCCCCGTCATGTTACCACTTTATGATGTTCTTGCAGTCTTATCTTAAGAGGGCAGCCTGTTTCTCCTTTATATTTCTTACTGCAGCTGCACGGGATGACGTACACACTGTCCTTAGTCATGTTCTCCTCTGTGGGGTGGGCGTCTAACTTAGAAGAGGTGTCTGCAAAGTGTTGAACCATTTTTGAAGGTTGTCCAGACATTAAATAGACCACAGATCTTTTCTATTTTCTCTGATAATCCCTTCACATAGGGTAGGCAGACCGAAGCTGTTTTCTGAGTGTTGTTATCCTCCTCTTGTACCCTTCTATCCCAGTTTCTCAGAGCTGTTGTCATGTACCCGGGGTAGTTGCCCAATTTTGTAAGCTGCAGACAATCCCTTTCTTTACACTGTATGGGTGGTGGGAGTTGAAGTTGAGGTATTGTCCAGTGAATGTAGGCTTGCAGTATATGGATGTTTTGAACCCATGTTCTGTTTGAGATATTAGTACATCCAGGAAGGAGTGAGTCTTGTTTTTTTTCTCTCCCAGTTGTGAACTGTGAAGAAGGCTGAAGCATAAAATGGCTGAAACTTTGTGAATATGGCAATGAAGATGAGGATAAAAGTTCAAATAATGTAAAAAAACATTATATCTACTTGAAATAAATCTTGTGTCAAGGGGTTTTTATCTTCTATTTTTTCATTTTGACTAATTACATTCTGTGAAAAATGATTTCCTTTCTGTTAATTGAACATTTACTGTACAAGAATTGGAAGCTTCTCAAGGTAGAGTGCTGCAGAGCAAGGGGCACATATGTGGGGAAGATAACAGTTAACCCTAGATTTGAAAAGGTTAAGATTGTATTGATCATGTATAGCATTGTGGCACCAATATTCAGTGCATGGATGAATGGTAGACTTATAAATATATAATATAGATGGCAAGAAAAATTGTCTAGCACAATACAGTGAACCAACTTTCCTAGCAGTAGACCTAACAATTAATTCAATATAATCTTTCCACTTCATGTCAGCTGAGAATGTTAA